AAAAGGGTTACAGTCATAAAAAGAAAAAAAGCAACAAAAAAATGAGATGAAAACACACAAAACCAAACAAAGAAATTACAAAACCCAACAGCAACAGTAACAAAGAAACAGAAAGTTGCTACATGTTTTTGATGTAAGCATCCTCTAGAGGAGACAAAGAATTTCAGAGAGAGAATTCTGAATTTTTTTCTTGTAGGACATAGTGATAAAGGGAAAAAATGATCCTAACTTAGAATTTTAGGAACTGACAGATGAAACTATAAATACAGCAACTGCTTATCTTGTGCTACATATGTATTCTAAAACCTGTAAACAACCTGGCCTTTCAATCCCTTCTTCCTCAGAAGCTTTGAAATAAGTGTCTTACAGAGAAAAAATCAAGTGCTGTGAAGTCACAGGAAGTAGAAACACTGTACAGCAAATTCAGAAGTCTTTTTGTAAACTCTTTACAAAAACCTGCAGTGGCAAAAGTCTTTTATGATAGTTCAGGCTTATCTATAGCTATCAAGACTGCCCAATGGTCAGGATAGCACTTGCACGACAATGAACAAATACAGATGCTTCTTCATTTGCAGTATCTAATCTGTCTCAAGTGAGTTTTACTTTGCTATGTAGTAATTTCAAAAAAATTTGAGGGAGACTAAATTTTCCTGACTCTGTTTACTCCACCTGGATCTTCAGCCTGCCAAAACATACCAAACTGAAACCAGTGTTCAGTTTGTTCAGTAGAAGAAAAATCATTTGTGCACATTGAAGTGAGGAATTAATCTTATGGATCTTTTCCAACCTAAACTATTCTATGATTCTATGATTCTTTTTTTTTCTAAAGTATACACATGGGTGCCACGATCTCCTCCAGGATTTTTCAGGGTCTGCCTGACTATAGCTCTTCAACTGGTCTAGCTCCAGTCACTTCCCAGGAGTTGCAGCTGCATTATCATTCAATAGGTGGATAAGAAACTTTCTATCCCTCTTAGACACCTGAGAGCAACACCCTAGAATTTTGCAGCTTGTTTTTGTCTTACCATGGTGTTGCATATGCAAAAAATTTTAAATTTCAGTGCTATTTAGATGCCCAGTATAGGAAAATGTCTTTCAGGTAATGATCAAGTAGCAGGAAAAGCTAAGGACAGACCTAATCATTGCCCAGTTTACCATGCATCAGTCTTCAAAAAACCAGCACATCTGCTATTCCTATAGTAATGATTCCCTGTAGAGGGAAAGTTCCCAGGATGTTCCTTCCTGTCTTCTCTAGCATTGCCTCAGGAGCAGCAAGTAAGACCCACCCATGATGGCTGTGAATTTTAATTCATTTAAGTAATTGAAGATAACAGGATTAAAAACACACAATCCCCACTGTGTGCAAACTTTGAAGGAAAAAAAAAAACAAAAACAAAACCAAACAACAAACAACCAATTAAGCAACAGATTTTGGAACGCTGTAATTTTGAGTAGAAAAATAGGCATGCAGTTTACAAGACTAAAACTTGCCAAGCATGAGAATGGAAATAGCTATTCTTTAAACTATTTAAAATAACAAACTTCATTCAAGAAGAATGTCTAAATTGTAGCAGAAACTTAAATGATCAGTAAATATCTGAGAATTCATAATAGCATATGCTACACAGTCTGTACTATTATAATGTGAAGCAACAGAAAACACAAATGTGATCAGAACAAATTGTTTAGTATATCTTAGGCGATGTGTCGGCCTAAGGCAAAGCACTTCTCAGTGAGAGCCATGTTGCTTAAACACAGCTTAGATGAGGATATTTAACATGGGACTTGGGACATATCAGTTCAAATATCAGTAATTCCACAATATGGTAAATAAACATATTGCCATAATAAGAACAGTCAAAATATGTTGTATTATCAACATTTTTATTTCTTATTTTTCTTCTATATTTTGAGATAAAATCATGAGCTGGGTCTTGTAGAAGATAAAAGTATTCAGAATTCTTAATAATATTTCCTACATTTTCTCTTCTGGGAGCAGAAGTTGTACCAGATGAGCAGAAAGCTGCAAAATATTTGCTGATCAATATGAAAAATATGAGTGAAAGAATATCTACATCAATCTCACTGTACTCCAAAGTAATACAGCACTCTAGAAAAATAAATATGTACAGGACAGAACAACGTTATAGTTGTAATGCTTCAAATTATACAGCTCAACCCCATAATTCTCCTGCTGGAGGAGGGAAATCTGCCAGAGGCTAAATCTGACTGCCTCAATCAAGCAGTGACCACCAGTTTGTCAACTTAAAGGAAAAATAAACCCAACAGTATTCAAGGCTAAATTCTGACAACATCCAGGACTTAACCAACACTGATATGATTCTATTTCTACCTTTTTTTCTTAAGCATCAGACGATCTTATTTACACTCATCTGCATAAAAGATAATAATAAATTCTATGGGATAGTGTGGTTTAGAAACTTTTTTTCATATTTCAGAATCAAAAAGTGGGGTTAATTGCAGCTCCTCAGAGGCATCTACACCCTAAAATAAATACTTTCTCTGAGAAACTGCACAGCATACACAGTTCAGAGAAGGGATAATTATATCTGCACTGCAGTTCAGTAACATAGCTTCAAAAAGTCTGTGCCAGCTTTAAATGAGATATGGAGTTCTATCACCAGCCTGTTCACACCACAACAGAATATACAATGTTCATTTACCCTGCAGTATACAGTAAATACGACTGCTGCTCTTACTGTATCTATGCATCCAATGATTTCTCTAATAACATAAAACGTTCTTTGGTTTCTGCCTGGAAAATGCAAAAAAAATTAATATATGCAAAATGTGATAAAGGTCAATATCCATTTTCAAGAACAGATTCTTTTACTTGAAAACAGAAACATGAATGTGGATTTGCAAAATATAGTAGTTTTGAAGAGTAATTCCCGTAACAAATTAAACATGTAATAAAAAAGGTCATGTTTATAATATTCGTTATTATGTTTCATCCATCTGCACCTTAACTATGGTGGAAAAAAAAAAAATCTAACTGTTAGCATAGTTAGGTTAACTCAGAGCATCCCACACTGAAAAACACTTTAAAGAAATTCTTGAGACTGGCTAGCTAAACAAGACATAAATATTTTCTCTTTGGAAATTCCTGCTTTCTATATTTCATTTTGTAGTGAATATAAATGAAGACATATATAGCGCATATTTCAGAAAAATTCCCTAACTTTTAAATGTTTGAAGATAAAAACCCTCTCACATAAATATTTAAGAATAAAAATATAAAAGTCTAATATTTTTCAAAATACTAGAAAGGAACATAAGCCAGCAGCGTGCCCATGTGACCATCTGTTTGTTTTGTAGGGCTGGAACAGCTCCACCACAGCACAGGGTTTGCACAGCACCATGTCTGCTGAAAAACCGACTCTGGAGAACATGCCCAGCATGCAGCTGGGATGACTAGAGCACATCATCCCTCCACTTACTGTGCAGTACCTTCATCAAACTCTGATCTGAAAAGTCCTGGTCTGTTTCCTGCCACCACAGCACAGTATATCTGTCTTCACTCAGGAGAGAAGGAATGAGAACAACTATGCTGTCATTAATAGTTTCTATATTTAAACCTGAGGGGATCTTTAGACATAGCTATGAGTGAAAAATTCTTTATTGTAAAGAATTCTGATTCCCCTGGTAGAAAGTTGGTGGTTCTGAGAAAATCTCAGTCTGCCCCATGGTTAAGGCAGAGAACTCTGATACTGAGATGGAAGATATTTGGAATATATTATATTTACATTCAATCAGCAAGGATATAAAAACATATTATTTTAAAAATGTAAATCAATGCAAGATTTATTTTTTTAATAGCTTCAATTCATAAAATTAACAATTTATTTTTTCTTGTTGACATACCCAAAGGTAAAATCCCTATGACAGAGCAATTGAAGCCTATTAAATACCACTTTTGTTTTCTGGAATACATATTAAGAATAATTTAATTATGTTGGGGAATATAACTGAGATTCAAGTAAAAGTGTGATTGTATGAATTTATGAAATATTATTATGGAATAGTATGACTATTTCCAAATGGCTACGTTTTTACTGCTTTGAAGGTTTACCAGGTTCAAAAAAGAGGCTAAACAAAACACTCATTTTAATTAAACAAGATTATAAAGATATGGAGAGAATGATCAAAGTTAATAATTTTAAATTTTAACAACCACAAATAATGTCAATTTACATTCAACAGATGGAATAGCAGCCTAAACAATTATAGGGAAAAATAAACCTAATTCTCTTATTGCAGTACAGGATTTTTTTCTATGCTATGTCAGATCTAAAATTGGCAGTGAATAGTTTGCCAATACTGCCTTTCCAGTGTCTGTATCTTGCAAATCTAGGAAAATCAGATAGGCAGTTCTGCACCAGAACTAGAAATATAATATTGGAAACAACTTCTAAGTGGACATTTTAGAAGCATTACATATTGTAATGAGTTTGTCCACAGATGTTTTAAAGGCTGAACTACACGCAGGAATCCAAGCAAGTAAGCTTTAGTCTTCATACTCAATTGACTGGAGCATTATTCTTCCTAATTTTCTGTTTTTTAACGGCGCCTTTGAGGAAAGATTTTTCAAACACATAGTTCCAACATCCGGCACATATATGTTTTAATAGATTAGGAAAGTGTCAGCATTTCTGAAGAACTGGGTTTTACCTAAAAATCAGGCCAAGAAATTCAACAGTCAGGAGACTTAAATTTAGCAAAATTAACCTCGATACAGTTTTAAACGTTCTCTATATTTTACATAAATCACATGAGCTTTTCCGTATCACTGGGGCCTTCACTGAGGTATGTTACAAATTCATTTTCCCATCCCAGGGGCACTGGTGACTGTTCATAACTCCTTATTGCAGTTCACTGTCTCCTCAATTACCCTGCTGGTAGGGCCTTTCCCCAAGCTCATCATTGGACTGATCAAGGCTAAATCAATAACATTTTCTTTCTTCCTTTCTCTAAATTAGGGAGAATGACACCAGTAAGTAATTTTGTGGACCAGCAAACATCTCCATCTACAGGACAGAGACAGCAAAATGTAACACAGACAAGATTTTATTTAGTCTTCTAATTTGTGCTTCTTCTATAATTAAAACCTATACATTTTATCTTCATTAGGCCATGAAACTGCCTTTCTGTCATGTAAGCAAGGAAAATCATATGCTTCATTTTCAGATAATTAGTGTATGCTTTGAGAATCTGGAACTGAAGTCTAATAGAGTTTAGAAACTTTAAGAGAGCAATAATCATCATGAATTTCAAAGCCTGCAATGTTGCTTTCCTAGTAGAAAATGTAGTTTATATATGCCATTAAAGAAGGCCATAAATACACCTGCTGGAACTCACTCACATGGGCAGGTATCATACCAGTGAGTCAGAAAAGGGTCAGCTGATGACTCAGTCCCATTTTTCTTTCTCATTTGATTGATTTTTCATCATCATAGAAAAATCACAGTTAAGACACTGTTGAAGAGAGATGTATGTTGAGGACCTGATGATGTTCCAAGTCCTGAGCTGACTTCTCTTAGCATCTATACAGATAAGCTGAACACAGAACTCATAATTCAGAGCTTTCATATGCTAGACAATTCTAGGTGGCTCTTGGACTAATCATTACTCAAAAAAGATGGAAGTCTACTATACTGCCAAATTAAGAGTTCAATTTAAAGCGTCAAGTATATATATGCATTTCCTTTTCTTAGGTATCTAGAAGCATGACCACTTCTGAATCTAGAAGAATCGAGTAACAATTTGACAGCAACAAGTACTTTCCAATAATCCTGGATTAGTGTGAAGTGTGAAACTTGCACAGACTGCGAACCTTGACAGTGGGAAAGATGCTGCCAGAATTAAGTTTTTCTCTACCACTTTTATTTGGTTCTTCTTGTGAATGGATCTCTAAATCATTAAACAAATCTCCCACAATGCTTTTTCTTATTCTAGACACCACCTGGTTGTATTCAGAGGATGATGTAGGATTGCTTAATAAAAGTGAATGCTGTCTGTATAATTCTTCTTCATTTATAATTTGGAAGGTTATCTGGAAGCCAAGTAGGAAGAAAACAAATTTAAGGGAGGTCTAATGATTTAAGTAACCACTAGTACCATATGGAACTGGATTTTAGTTTTATTTCTGCTGCAAAGTAGGTGTAAGTGAAGTGGTATATGGTTTATTTGAAGTAAATAATGCTTATTCTGTGTAGGTAGTAGTCTTTTTACCTTGAAAACGAGAATAATTGTCTGTCTCACTGAAACAGATGATGTAGTTCATCCTCAAATATTTTGTTCTTTCACTTCCCTACACATATTGAGTGCATTTTATGATCAAAAAAACTTGAAATGTGTCAAAAGAGATATCCACATTTCAACTTCTTTTATTCTTTTCAACTGGAAGGTATTTGGAACATTTTTAAAGGTCTGCAAGTAAATGAATAAATAAAAAATTACAGAGAGCATTTTAAGTGTAAAGATTGAGGAGAAATGGTAAGATTACTGGGGAAAAAAAACCAAAAAGCAAAAAAAATAAACAAACAAAATAAAAACAAAACAATAACAACAAAAAACCCCACACACATTTTATATAAAAGTTAAAATAACCCGAGAATTTCATAAATCCAGTGGAAGCTTCTGGTAACAGAGCATTTTTAATTCTGAAGGCAAAAAATATTCTTAGAAGTCAAATAGAAAATTAACACAAATTTTTTTTTTTTAAACTATTGTAATTTAAATTCTCCTGCAGTTTCTAGCTGCCAAGGAAACTGAAGTCTCTCTGAAACCTTCATAAATGTCTCTTGATGATGCGAGTTTGTATTCCCCTTATCCACTGAAATGTTATTCCAAATAAGTATTACCCCAAGGATCTAAAACTTCATCACTAATATTTTGATTTTGATGCACAAAAGCTGCCAAATGAATGGCTTATGTTTAAGTGACAACTTTAAAGAAAAGAAATTCAATGTCTTTATGATACAACTAAGAACTCTTAAATCAGCAATAAAGCAGCATCTTGCTTCTCTTATTTAGAATAAAGAGCATTATATTTACACTCTTTCACATATTGAGTGATGGCCAAAAAGGAGCAGAAAGGAAGGTAAAGACTGTGAAAATAGAAATACAGAGTCTCATGAGACCTGATTAGGGTCTTCTGTGCTAAAATATGAGGGTTTTAGTGACTATCAGAGATAGGGAGATCAGAGAACAGTTCATCACACTCATTGGAAATAGAATGCACTCAAAGTGACTTGTCACCCAAACAGAAGACAGACAAATGGGTGCAGTAAGGAAACAAAAGCAAGCCATGGAATATCAAACAACTTGCTAATGTGGTACGTAGGGAATATTTGTGATTCAGCAGCTTCCTAAGCACAACATCCTTTCACCGAGAAAGGTGAACAACTTTCTCATGGCAGGTGTTCATATTCCAGATGTGATTTAGGATGTGGGCCTGACCAGTTTCCAGAAAATCTTCACTGCTGGTAGATACAAGATGATCAAGCTCTGAGTGAGAGAATGTGGGGGAAAAATTTATTTCTAAATTGAAAGAATCCTGAAAACTTGCTGCAACAATGCAGGTGAAAGAAATGTTTTCAGAACTGAGTTTGTTATTTTGCTTAGATTTAAGTCAAAATTCTGCAGCATATGTTCAAAACTAGGAGAATTCTATTTCTCTATAAGTATACATTAGAGTCCAGCCCTACAGTTAAATTATGCTACATACCCAAAGAGAGTAGTTTAGTTCCATGACCAAACTACTTTGCAGTTTGTATCCATAACGTTTGTGTGGTAATAACAGTAATTCCTTGCTTGAAAAAGTAGTGGTAGGAACATATTTCAACAGGATAGTTCTTGCAAGCTCCTGAAAGAAATTACTGGGAAAATTCCATTTCAGTGCAATGCTTATTAGATGCTTAACTTCTCTTTCATTCTTAAAACATATACTTTGATGTGAATATGAATTTTTATACTTAGCAGCAACAAAGACTCATATATGTCATCCACTGTCTACTTTGGGATTGTCATCCACTGTCTACTTCAGGATTTGCTTAGTTCTTTTAGATTTGTTCTGAAAATTGGCATCACGAGAGAAAGCAGTCCTGATAGACCGCTCCCTCTAGTTTTTCAGATAGTGAAGTTCTGTGAAAAAATAAGATAAAATTACTTAAGCCACCAGTAGTAAATCACTGGAGGAAAGTAAGAGGAGGGGAGGAAAGACATAGAATAATGCATTGGTTGTAGCCTTTTTTGTATAACAGAATTGACATAATGTTTACATACTTACTTTGATTCATGCAACTAAACGTCAAACTCTTAGTCAGAAATTATGGATTGTATTTAGCCAAAATTTTAATACATAGCATCTTTTGTTTAGCTGTTAGCACCATGGACATGCAGATCTTATTTCTGTAACATGACAATCACAAATTAACTTTAAACCCATGAAGTGAAAGTAAATGCTTACAAAATCTTATCAAATGCATATCAAAGAAATAACCTATCAAAGCCTGTATTTAACTGAAATATTATAGACTGCTAACTACAGCACAGTAAAAAATTTCTGAACACAAAAAGCTAAGACATCCTGATTTGGAAATTGAGGCTTTAAGACAGAATCTTGCTTAAAAAATATTACAAGCCTCATTGTACGAATGTATCTTTCCAAAAGAATTGTGGAAGGTATTTTAATATTTTGAGCTATCTAATCATCACCGATCTACACTGTGTTTGTATAGATCACAAATTAGAACACTGCATGCAAAGAAAAAGCAAGAAATATACTGAAGTTTGAGGATGAGCAAAAGTTGTTATGCATGATATATTTGTGTAAGCACTACTAGTTTGAAAAAGTATTGGTCATGTATAGACTATATTTTATTTAAAATATGATTTAAAAATGTTTTTCTGTTGAAAATACATTCTTGCATTCTGAGCCCTAATACTATTCCAGTTCTATGGAAAGATAAGAATTGGTTGTTCTTGTTATCTTGTTTTGTTATTAAGGGATATCAGATAGGAATTATTATTAGTTCTATAACTATGCAAAAAAGGTATATACAAGTAATACATACATATATATATATGTAACTATAGTGTTTTTTCTAGAAAACCATTAAAACAGCATGGATAATTTTTTTTACATCAGCTATTTTGAGAAAGACTAGAAGGGGTTACTGTATTTATTTTAAATTTTCCTGCTGGCCTGACTTCATGTCCTACACATCTCATTTTCATGAATATCCCAAGGGAACAAGTCAGACAGCGTTACTGAAACATATTTCAATAAAATAAAGCAATATAAAGGACATTCAATATAATATAGTAGAGAATGAAAATGAATGATCACAATTTCATAGACTTTCAAGGCTTTTCAAGACAAAGTGTGAAAATTTCTTTAAAAAACCAACCAACAACAACAAAAAAAACAAAACAAAACAAAACAAAACAAAAACCAAAAAAAAAAAAAAAAAAAAAAAAAAAAAAAAAAAAAAAAAAAAAAAAAAAAAAAAAAAAAAAAAAAAAAAAAAAAAAAAAAAAAAAAAAAAAAAAAAAAAAAAAAAAAAAAAAAAAAAAAAAAAAAAAAAAAAAAAAAAAAAAAAAAAAAAAAAAAAAAAAAAAAAAAAAAAAAAAAAAAAAAAAAA